GCTCCAGGCCAATACTCCTTTGACTTCTTCAAAAAATGTGGTCCCTCCTCCCATACCTTGACATCATCAATGTTGAACTTGGCTCCTCTGGATGCAAAGTCTGCTATGTTTTCCTTAGAAGGTACAAATCTCCATTGGTCCACTTTTGTAAGACTGTGGATAGTCGAGACCCGGTTGGCTATGAATGTTTTGAACTGGCTTTTCTCATTTCTAATATAATGTAAGACAATCATGGAATCCGTCCAAAACACAACTTCTGCAAACTTGATATCTAACTCAGACTGCAGCTGGGACCCCATACGCGCGGCTAACACTGCTGCTGTAAGTTCCAAGCGGGGTATAGTTTGAATCTTTAAAGGGGTTACTCTTGCTTTAGCCGTAATAAGACGAGAACATATTTCAGTGTCATCGATGTGAGAACGGATGTATGCCACTGCCCCATATCCAACTTCCGAGGCGTCACAGAAAATATGAAGCTCCAGGAGTGAGCGATCTGACTGTGGGATTAATACACAGCGTGGAAAACTAACGTTCTCAACCCTCTGAAATCCACTTAAAATCTCTAACCAGCGTTTGCCTTCCTCACTTGGAATCTCTTCGTCCCATCCTAGTCCCAATTTACTCAAACGCTGAAGTAACTGCTTCATAGGAAGTGTGAATGGTGCTAACAATCCCAAGGGGTCGTATAATGAAGCTACACTCGACAATATACCTCGCCTAGTGAGAGGGCATTTCGGTATGCGAACTTTAAATTCAAACGCATCAACCATAGTATTCCAAAATAATCCCAATGTGCGTTCCGTAGGAAGTCTCTCAAAGTCAATCTCTTTTACGGCTTCTGCTCTCTCTTCTGGATTAATTGATTCGAGAACCTGTAAACAGTTACTTATCCACTTGGTAAGTCTGAACCCACCTTTTCTGAGTAGTAAACCAAGGGTTGTTGCAAGCTCGATTGCATCCTGCACATTATCAATTGATGCTAAATAGTCGTCGACATAGAAACTCTTATCTACAACTTCCTGGACATCTTTATTTAATTCCTTTCCGAATATATCTACCGTTTTCCGAAGAGCGAAATTAGCGCAAAAGGGAGAGGACACGGCTCCAAACGGATGAACTGTCAAACAATATTCTTTAGCCTTTCGTCCTATATCACCGTCTTCCCACCATAATAGTCGAAACGCTCCCCTGTCTCGTTTCGGAATCTTTACTTGAAGGAACATCTCCTCGATGTCAGCGGCTAATGCTACGTTGCATAATCTGAATCGTAGAAGTATACCAATTAAACTGTTTACAGTATTAGGTCCTCTCAAAAGCTGATCGTTAAGAGAACAACCTTGATAGACAGCTGCACAATCAAAAACAATTCTTAATTTTCCAGGCTTTTTAGGGTTGATAACAGGATGATGAGGAATATACCAACAAACAGCATCACGGTCGAATTCCTCCTTACTAGCTTCAATGATGTAGCCTTTGCTTAAATGTTTACTCATCACAAGTTGATATTTCTCCAGAAGACTATTATCCTTCATAAACCTCTTCCTTAAACACTCTAGTCTACGTTCAGCCAGTTCCAAATTATTCGGTAGTCTTGGCTTATCATACTTCCAGGGTAGACCAACTTGAAAATGGCCACCTTCCAGTCTAAAGGAGCTATTAACTATTTCTAGAGCTCTTTTATCTTCGACAGAATATTCATTACGAGACCCATCTGCGTCCTCGAATTCATGATTATATAATCTTTCTATATCTCGCAAAATATCATTAGTAGAACAATGACACCACTGAACTTGATGTAAAGACCTCGATGCTTCTTTAGGACCTAAAATCATCCAACCGAGATGAGTACGCACACCAAACGGATGCTTCCTGTCTCCCAGGCGTTGTTCAAGGACCCAATGTGCATCTGGAGCATCACACCCAATCAATATTCCTACTAGATTACTTTGCAGCCTCGGTAGAGTTATGTCCCTTAAATGTTTCCACTTTCTCAGCTGCAGTTCGGTTAAAGGCTCTGCATAATCGATCGGAAGTTTCTTGGTCGTATAGGCCTTGTTGATCCTTATAGAACCCCGCTCATCTAATGAAAATACCTCTAAATTCACTTCCAGACATTCACAAGTAGAAGTTCCATTCACAGTCGTCAACTTTATTGAAGTCTCCTTACCTTTGAGACCTAACCGATTAACCAACTCTTCGCATACAATAGAGGTATCTGAACCATTGTCTAGAAGAGCGTATGTTTCCAGACATCCTTTGGGGCCATATAGTCTAACCGGAACGATACCCAAACAAACCTTTGAGAATTTCCAATCCTTAGCAAAATTCACTACATGTTTGTTAGAAGCATCAATATGCAATAATGGATTATGCCGAATCTTGCAATTATCAACGTCACACCTTGTGTCTGAGTTACACGACTTGGCTATGTGACCCTTCCTTAAACACAAGTAACATAGACCACGCTTTCTCACTTCCTGCCTCCTCTCTGTAACATTCATTTTTGATAACTTCATACAGTCTTTCTCCTTGTGATCACCAAAACAAATTTCGCAACTTAAAGCCTTGAATGAGTTGCTTGGTTCCCTCTTAACTACATTAAAGCGTGATCTCTTGTCAACTTGGCCTTCATAATTACCTTTACGAAACCTTGAGTTACAATGTACCAGTCTACCAAAACGTGATCTCGCAATTCTGGCTCTTTCTTCTACAAACATCACTAATTCTTCAAATATCGGCTCTCTACCGGTCATCATAATCCTATCAGCGGCTTCTACCCATTTATTCTGTAATTCCAAGGGTAAACGTGACACAATTATTTCCAAATTAGCCGTGGAATTCACATCAGACATATACCCCATTTCCTTCAATGTTATACATACATTACGTAACTTAATTGCGAAGTCAGTAAGGCCATCGGCGGATCCTTCAACTGATTTGTGGCTAAGTAATTCGGTAATAAGATTACGGGCAACGAGATGTTCTTTACCAAACAAATCATACAAAATTTCCTTAGCCCTATCGTAACCCAAGTGACTGGGCAAAGAAATACAAGCTTCAATAGCCATTCTGGCCTTTCCTTTACAATAGTAAGACAAATATGACAACAACTGGCCCTTGTCAGACAGTTTACTCTCTATAATGCTTGTAAACTGACTAATAAAACGGTGGTACTGGCTAGGTTGTCCGTCAAAAAACATCATATCGATTTTAGGCAAAACTGTATTATTAACCGTAGCACGTAACGTGTCCTTTAATTCATCAATACAACCGCATTTTGAGGCGTTAATTACCTTATTACGCTCAATATCACAATCCAAATACCTTTCGACCTTAGAATTTATCTCAGCTTTGTCTACTGACAGTTGGTTATCGTTTTCTATGAGCTTACATTCTAATTCAGCCATATCAACTTCCTCTTGAAGCTCTAACATTTTAAGCTGCTTTTCTAACTCAAGTCTCTTTTCCAAATTCTTCTTCTTAATTAATGCCTTATCTAACTTCAATCTAGAAGTACTAAACTGAGATGAAGACTTACTATTAACACTAATATCATCAAGTTTATCATCATTAACATCAGACATACCACAAACAGCTTTAGAATATTTACCATCCATTTCGTCCTGCTCCTTCAGCCTTTTGCTTCTAGTTTCCATTGGATGCTTTTATTCGAAATCGATTACCAAGCAAATGTGAAATTATTCCAAACGTATTCGGCCAATAATAACAAAATGTCCAGAAGTATCCAAAATATAACCAAAGAACCAAAATTGAATTGTCCAAAGTATCCAACGACCAAATTAAAAGTTAGAAGAACCTTTGGACCCAAATTTCCAAAAGTTTCCAACGACCAAAATTTGAATTGAAGAACCTCTGGAGCCAAACGACCAAAAGAATCCAGTTTATGACAAATTTAAATTAGAAGAACTTTTGTTACGTCCAGTTTTTTGCTCGTTGATCTTACGAAGCACTGTTGTCGTCTATTTGTAATTCACGGTCCCAAATTTCTATACCAAGAACGAAACTCCAAAGTAGATACCAAAGTTTATTCCAAATCACAAATTCGACCAAAATACTTTATTACAAATAGACGACCAATGTCGTTCTAACAACAATAATTATAATAATTACAATTACCTTCTAATTTATTATCTCTTGGAGCAAAAAACTGCAACGAACAACAAAGAGAAACGGGAGTCCAATATGTCCGCAAATAATAATTCAAACAAGTTCATAAGTTAAGTAAAACAAATATACCCAAAAAACAGTGAAATTAATGATTA